CCGCGGTCAGTCACAGATCAAACCCTTCAAATATTACAAGTTTCATACCTTTACTGGCAATATCAAGCCAAATCCTTTCAATTTTGCACAATTTCTACTCGCACAGTCGACTTCCAGCCAGAAATGCCACTAAGCCTCAGCAGAACAGAACCGGTCTAAACCAGTCTCAAATTAACATACGACAATCCGCAAATTTGATTGGGCAACAGCAAAGTAAGCCTTCTTAGAAAGAAGCCCGCCTCACATTCAGTGTCAGCGTTATCGTCACGTTCTTGTTTGACCTTGAAATCGGCAGCAGCGGCTACACGACCGCGCACAAACGGTGCGCTCAACATCTCAGGTTCTCCACAATGATTAATGATTGATAATCCTAACCCTAACCCTAACCCTAACCCTAACCCTAACCCTAACCCTAACCCTAACCCTAACCCTAACCCTAACCCTAATCCTACTATGATTGTAAGGAATTGTTGGCTTGAACGATCACGGGAAGTTGAACGCGCTTGTTTATTTCTGTATCAGATTACATCAACGTCTTCTAACATCTGAGCCATAGACACAGTCGATACATTGATACCGTTCTCCAAGCGGTCACTGCAAATGACACGAAAGTTCAGTAATAGAACACAATAAACAAGAGAAAAACACCGTAAAATTACCACCAATATACACGGAAGGCTAAATAATTACTCAACAGGCACCCGCGGTCAGTAACAGATCAAACCCTTAAAATATTACAAGTTTCATACCTTTACTGGCAATATCAAGCCAAATCCTTTCAACTTTGCACAATTTCTACTCGCACAGTCGACTTCCAGCCAGAAATGCCACGTCGTCAGCAGAACAGAACCGGTCTAAACCAGTCTCAACTTAACATACAACAATCCGCAAATTTGATAGGGCAACAGCAAAGTAAGCCTCCTTAGAAAGAAGCCCGCCCCACATTCAGTGTCAGCGTTATCGTCACGTTCTTGTTTGACCTTGAAATCGGCAGCAGCGGCTACACGACCGCGCACAAACCGTGCGCTCAACATTTCAAGTTCTCCACAATGATTAATGATTGATAATCCTAACCCTAACTCTAACCCTAACCCTAACCCTAATCTTACTCCTAATGGAGTATCACCCCCTACTTCATTTCATTATCCTCTGTTCCGCTGTACCTTCTCCAACCTTCTTACGCACCCTTTCCGCCCCCACATCCCCAACCCGTTCAACTCTCCCGTTTCTCATAACTATTTCCACTCTTCTATCCCACCATCTTTTTTTATACTACTTACCTCCTATCGTCCTCAGCCTCCTTGCGTTTCCTGTCCTTCTCATTCACCCCATCCCAACGCTTATTTTCGTTCCCACCTTTCTTCATACTTTCAGCACCATTTAACTTTTTTGTGCTCCGTACCCTGTCCGTACGAGCTCTCGCTTTCTCTCTCGCTCTCTCCCACTCTCTCTCTCGTCAGTCCCCTACCATTTGTCTATCTCTTCACCGTCTCCAGCCCCGTCCTCCTGCATCTTCGCCCACCTCGCTAGCTCTTCTTCCCCAATCTCCCTTATACTCCCCAATACTCTCCCCCAACGCATTCGTCCCTCCGCAAGCCTTCCTCTTCCATGTTGACACCAGTCTCCTCCTGTGATCAAGGAAATCAGGATAACGCGAACGTTCAATACTAATATTCCTATTCGTTGACAAAGAACAGCTGAATCTGACCACGTAGGAGTGGCACGCCCCGTTAGACGCTCACTGCTATCCGAGCGTGGAGGTTCAAACTCCAGGCGTTACAGATATATTTACATAATTTGTAAAGTGGAATCACCGAGATGAGCAGAAGCGACGAGTATTACCCGCGGTATATCAAAGCGCTTGCAATGCATGTGCATGCACTCCCAAGAATCACGGTGAAAGTGCAGTCTCAGCAGACGATAACGGCTCTACACGGCCGCCGACAATGGGCGACGCGTGGGTGACGTTAACACACGATACAGGCTAGCTCTGTCTCTACTGTAGCGTAAGAAGTTTAGCATTTCTAAGCACGCTTAACTCGCCATGACCCGCCCCGGTACGTGCAGCGCAGCGGAAGTCTGGGTGGGCGCAACACGCCAAGGCATCATAAAATTTAATCTTTTGCTTTTCCTTTTTGAAAGGATATATTCGTCTACGTGCCCGAGAGGTGCGACACACACTTCCTTTGCATGCATATCCGTATCTGTGAAAGTTGACGACGTACTTACAATCGCAGAAGAAAGAATCAGGGCAGATCATGCGCGGAATACGTAGTGCGCGATAGAACGCTGAGAAAATGCGTGGATAATAGTTGATAAGACAGTATGCGTGTCCGGTACAGAAATGTCTATTTGAAAAGATTCAAGGCACGGTCGTTTTCCGTGGTGAGACAGAGCGGTCAGTGCAAGTTTAAAACATTGCAGCGGATTTATACGAGAAGCGCATTCTTACGATAAAATTTTTAGCATGATAAAATGCCTCTCTCTCTCTCTCTGTCCCATCAAATAATAGCATAATCTCTATTTTGTTCACTGGGCGAATCTTTTCATTATTGCAATGCGTAATCCCTTTCCCTCTCAAATCACCTCAAAATGTCTTGAGCCGCGGTGAGGTAATGTGTCCCTTGCATTATTATCTGTAGGCCGGACAGCAGCTATTGCTAACCGATGGTGACGTAGAGATGGTAGGGATGACATATTAAAGCTTTCTTTTTATTAGTACTTATATGCTTATCTATGTCGGCTATTCCAGTAGCGATTTAGCTATTTCCTACTTCCCATAGACTATTTCCACTTAGCTTTCTTACATTGCCATTATATTTTGCACTGGCAACAAAAAAAACATCTGGTAGTCGCCTTACAGAGTTGGGAATGATCAATGGTTATGCACTGAGATACGCATTGAAATGGTTTTGGTCGTTTCTCCATAAATATCGGACACTGGATACTCCTGCAGAAGAATTTGTAATGACCGTAAAAACTAAATAATTAAACAGACAAGAATGGATAAAATGTAAGAAAATAAATTATTGAAATTGCTGCAGACGTAGTAAGAAGCGGGAAACGTGTTTAATTCGTTGAAACATCGAAACACTCCCCGACAGTGAGAGAGACTGAGATCAACGCGTACTCACACCTTTTCCGCACCTACAGTTGTGATAGAGGAAGATTTATAAATCATATTTCCGTAAGCTCACGCAGGTATGTGGGCGCGATGACGATTATGACGATACGAAGACGTTACTACTGTAACACAGCAGGCATCTTCTCTGATGCATACATCAAATCAGAAGTTAAAATGTAGTAAATGCATAATATTTAACCTCGTTGGTCGTGTGTCTCTGGATCTGATCACAAAACTCTCATGTGGCATTTTCATTCTATCGAAAACACATATGGGTTCAAGTAAATCTTCGTGCATTCAGAAATTTTTCAGTGTGCATATCAGTAATCAAAATAACGTATCGCAGAAGAAACATACTTTTAGCACACAGTACCCTACCTCTATCGTTTATCAACAACACCGTAGTGCAAGCTCGGAGCTCAATAAGAAGTTTTACCCGTCCAGTATGTGCTATCACGTGTAGAGGTATCTAGATTGTATTACACTTTCCTACGTACGATTGGTTTGTTGGTGTGGCATACGAATATAAGACTACAACCATAATTATTACCACAAATATAACCACTATTTTATCATATATAATCAAGAATTGATGCGCTTCTCCGATAATTCTATAACCAGATTTAACAAAGCTTCATTGTCCAAGAAAAGCCGTTGGTATTCAGCAGTAGGGCCTACTGAGAATAAAGCAAAGCAATATCAATGTTACCACATTCTTTCTTAATGTTTCAACATGATTAACGAAATTCTCGTTTTTCATCCATCTCCTGAAGAATCCATTCATCGAATTCACAGAGAGGGTCAGTGTATCTACAGGGTTGCAAATTCACACTTAATTAATAGAAGTGAATAGATTTTTATGAAATGACACGGTAATATTTTTCATATTGAAAAGCGAATTATGTCTGACTACAAATCCATAGTCCTACTTGTTCACTGTTCTTACTTTCTTGGGAAATGAATATGAAAAAGTTTTTGACAATCACAGTGTTGTACATAACTGTTGTACATAACAGTCAAGATGCTTATCCCAAACTTACTCATAGCTACCTGAAATATGTGGTGTACATGAAATAAGTATACACAATAACGTGTACCTACATAGCATTTAGTTGTTATAGTCAGTCCATGATTAGGAGCTGTAAACCGCAAAAAACAGTTGGTCAATTCCGTTTTTATAAATCGCGAACAAGAAATAAAATTTAGCCAAACTCCCAAGGTTTCACTGGCAGCTAATCCTTACTAATGAATACAGAGAACCGTTTACGCCGAAGCAAACGACATAATAATTGCATAGTTTTTACTGAGTCATCATTAAATGACAATTAATACAAAGAGGTGAGCAACTACCTTTTACTAGCAGGAGCAGTAACCTTATATTGTGATACTGTTTTTATTTTGCATCCATGGTAGTTCACGAACTCGCGTTAAAAGCAGTAACTAATTCACTCGACTATATAGATGGCTCTAGTTTTCTTTTTAATTATGCCCACACGTGTAAGCAGCACGGCAGTGTTACGCTTAATTTTAGATTCTGTCGAATAATATCATTGAATTTTGGCGAGCTCGTATTATATAAATACCACAGCAATATGGAAGAGTAGCTAAAACAAACAAGTCAGTGCCTGCACCAAACAATAGACGGGAACAATCGACAAGAGGAATCTATAGATCATGCAGACTATATATACCTAAATCACTGAGATGATTTCAAAACGGGTCGCGTAGCAAGATGAAATTGTAATCATAAGTAATCTATCTTATATTATATATAAGATGCCAATAAAGTCTTTTGATCGAACTAAATCCGTGGTGTCTTATCTGCTGCATCTTAT